CGCCCCGCTGCTGGATCACTCCGAGCGTGGGCGTGGGCGTGGCCGCTGGATAATTCCGGGCCGCTCGTCTCGCCGCTGGATAATTCCGGGCGCGGACGCGGGCTTGACCGCTGGATTATTCCGGGTCGCCCAGTTTCCTGGCCAATAATCACGTGTGAATATTTTCTTCCCCAATTTCCCCGCTAGCTGGCCAGAAAATTATCGGCGCTTTTCCGTTCTGGGTGTCTCACAAATTATAAATTTTGTGAGGGGACTCGGGGCCGCTGAGGATCACCCCGGCCGCCCAGACGATTCCTTACAGACTCAAAGTGTGTTTGGAAAACACGCCGGTTAAGATTTCTAGGTCACATTCTATCAGACAAGGGAATTAGTGTCGATCCCGAGAAAGTAGATGTTATCACGTCATTTCGGGACCCAAGAAATAAGGAGGAGACGAGAAGCTTCCTAGGTCTGGTCACTTATGTCGGGAAGTTTATTCCGGATTTAGCCGATCGTACAGAACCGCTGAGGAGATTGCTGGGAAAGGATACCAAATTCGTCTGGGGCCCCAAAGAGAAAGAAGCGTTCAACGATTTAAAAACTCGCCTGGGTGAAATACCCAGACTCTCATATTTCAATATAAGATATCGAACACGTCTGATTGCTGACGCAAGCCCGGTGGCGCTGGGGGCCGTACTGCTACAGTTCACAGAAAGAAACGAACCCCAAATCATTTCTTTTGCCAGCCGATGTTTGTCTGATGTGGAGAAGCGTTACTCACAAACCGAAAAAGAAAGCTTGGCGCTGGTATGGGCGGTAGAAAAATTTTATTAATCCTTAGCCGGTTTAGAGTTTGAGTTGGTTACCGACCACAAACCGCTCGAGACAATATTTAAGCCAACAGGTGGCTACTGCGATTACAGACTTATAAATTCAAAGTAATTTATAAAGCAGGGAAGGAAAACATCTCAGACACTTTGGCTCGCCTGTGTAACATTTCATCGACAAAGGACTTCGAGTCGAGAGCCGAGTATAGCATTTGTCGTGTATCGGAGAGCTCAATTCCTATGTCAATGAGCATATCGGAGATAGCAGAGAAAAGCATCCTTGACGAAGAAATTGTGGATGCCATTACTTGTTTGCAAGATGATTCATGGACTTCCGCCGCATCAAATAATCTCTACCCGTTTCGATTCGAGCTTTCCACAATCGGAAACCGTTTGATCATTCCGACATCTCTGCGGGAAAAGGTGCTAGAGCTAGCACATGAAGGGCATCCAGGCGAATCCGCAATGAAACGTCGGCTGCGCTCCAAGGTTTGGTGGCCTGGCACCGATTTGTTGGGTTCCTTGCCGAATGGCGAATTCTTACTCGTCTTCATTGATTACTACTCGCGGTAAATGGAGTTTAAATTCTTGCGTTCTATAACTTCAACGACCATTAGCGATGTAATGAAGGATATTTTCTGCAGACTTGGGTTTCCCAAATACTTACGGACGGACAATGGACGGCAGTACATCAGTAGTGAGTTTAAGGAATATTGCAGGCTTTGTGGTATAGAGCAGATAAGAACTCCGCCTTACTGGCCGCAGGCAAATGGTGAGGTTGAGAACATCAACAAATCCCTAGTGAAGCGATTAAAGATAGCATATCAAAACAAAAGTAACTATAGGGATGAGATACAAAAATTTGTGCTAATGTACAATGTAACTCCGCATAGTAGCACAGGTACTGCACCTACTCAATTAATGTTTAACAGGCTGATCCGTGACAAAATGCCAGGAATTCAGGATTTGGGCGGAGAAATATTAGACTCAGCAGAACGAGACCAAGATTGCATCACAAAACAGAAGGGAAAGGAAACAGCTGATAGAAAGAGAGGGGCGAAGGAAATTGATATAGAAATAGGTGACAAGGTCCTAATAAAAAATGTTGTGTTCCCACATAAGCTAACACCAAACTTTGACCCTACCGAATACGATGTTATAGAGAGAAAGGGAAACATAAGAAGAGTGACAAGAGATAGCAGACATTTTACCAGAAATATTAGCCACTTAAAGAAGATTCCAATAAGAAGCCCGTCGGAAAGCGACTCCGATCCCGGTTCCTGTCCACAGGTACATGTGACTCCACCAGAAGGATTGACAGCCACGCGACAAACGGAACACCAGACAGCACAGACGACAGGGATGGAACTACGAAGTTCGGACCAAGGATTGAAATTAAAGCTGTTGAAAAAAGGAGGGATGTGGGAACCGGCGGCGAAGAGCGAGGCCGATAACGGCTGCAGCGAAGTCAGCGCCGACGTCAACGATTGATCTCTTCTGCATAACCTTTTGTATAATTAGTAGACTACGAGCAATTGACAGACAAGCATTGCAGGTCCGCAAATAAAGTGTAAAATCAACCCGAAAGTGAATAGTATTTCTGTCGTGGTGGGAAGTGACTAATGGGTCATTACAGGTTTAAAACTGTTTCGGGTCCTGCGTGAACTGAACTCTACAGCGAGTTAAATTATTTTTATAACACTGCGCGTTAAGCACAGTAAAATTCGACCAAGCACTAACATAACTATAAAGAACAGGAAGAGAACCGATACGATTATAATTATTGTAAGGTCTATACCTATTGTACAGCCTAGAAACCGACGGATAGGTTAACAGAACACACAATAAAAAGAACGAATTCATGGCACTTTCAAAAATATCCACGGCGGACGCCATGTCAGTGCACATGTAAAGATCAAACCAATCAAATTCGGAAATTATGACATCTAGCCTTTAGTGGCTGAGCGATCAGATTTATTCTTTACGACAGTCCCCAAATCGATGGTCACTTCGAAAGTAGGATGGTAAGGGTCTTCGGGAAGCGTCAATGGATCAACTCTTGTTAAGTTTACACCTACAGGATCGGAGACGAAACACAGATCTAGTAAGCGATTAAAGAATTTAAGACATGGTTAACTTGAGACAAAGTAATGTTAAGCAAGCCATCTATGAGGTCATGCTGTGCCGCAGTTTGGAAGGCATTGGACGTATCATCTGATGACCAACGAGCTTCAGGTATATTGAAGTCTCCTAGAGTTATTAGTTGGTCTCTATCTGAAAGCATGTTGGAAACGGCCTGAATCGCCGAAAGTTGTTTCCAATAAATAGGCTCTTCAGCAGATGGAGGAACGTAAGAACAGGTTATATAGATAAAACGACCTGGAAATGATAATATATTAAAATATATATACATTAGTCGGCACAATTATTTGGAGAAAATGATATGCATGCCAAATTTTATGCATTTTACTGTTACCGTTCACTTTCTGCTAATTGAAATGCATGCAGACATCGAATTTTAACGTGGCATAAGTATTTTGACAAACCTATTGAGGACATTTTCTGAGGGAGTTGAGTGCGTGAACTCAAAGAACGCTTTGTTATTTAATAATTTAATTATTTAAAAATAAAAACAAAAACTAAGAATTGTTAAAATTTATCTAAATTATGTGTAGAAAGAGCAACATTAATTTGTTTATTAAGTCTTTAATAGTAGTAAAATTTAACGAAGAAATTTAAGTAGAAGAAATTGCAAATGAGTTCAATGTGTTGCGTCAAACTGTTGATTATCAAATTTACAAGTTCAAAAAACAAAATGACGTAAAGAACTTGAAAACAACAAGCCCCAAGCGCAAAACAACTCTCAATGAAGATAGAATTTCCCTATTGGAAATAAAGAAAAATATTTTCTGAAGCCTACTTCCGATGCAAATCAGTGGAATTACACCGCATATGATCTTAAAAGTGAGTGAAAAACAGTAAGTGGAACCAGTGTCCGTCGACGCATAAGGGAACAGGACCTTCAGATACTAAGAGCTAAGGATATGCCACATATTCCAAAGGCAAATAAGCTTAAAGGGTGGAAAAAGCAGAAAAAGTTCTGGAGAGGTGATTCATAACAAAGTCTTTATATTTTAAAATAACAAAGGCCGAAAAAGTGCCAAAAGTGACCAAAGGTGAGCCATGGAGACGGCTTTGTCACGCTATAGATATGCGTTGCCTATAGTGGGCATCTAGACCACTGGTTTTTGGTTCCCACTACCATTTTAATGAACCAAGGATAAGAATTTAAGGCTCTGAATTCTAAGCCTATCCCTTGCTATCTCTGGAAAGAAAGGCTAAACAATTATCATCATTTATTCTGCAACAGAATAATGCACCATGCCACAAAACCCATATGGTTATCAGTTGTTTAAAGGATTTTGGCGTTACCATCTTGAACTGGCTGTTCCAAAGTCTAAACTTTAATATTATTAGGATCATCTGGCCTCTTTTAAAACTCAAAATAAAGAATTCGTTGAAAAAAAGCAAAAGGGAGACCACATCTTAGGTAATTTCCCTTCGGAAAGAGATATCCTTAAAGATCCTTCAATATTTGGTAAATCCAAGGCCGAGACGACTTAAAAAGTATTTGTCAAAATACCTATGCCACGTTAAAATTCGATGTCTGCATGCATTTCTATTAGCAGAAAGTGAACGGTAAGGGTGATATGCATAAAATTTGGCATGTATAGAGCTAACTATATGTTCTTTATGTAACGCATAATTTTATTACCGTTATATGAAGACTTTGAGCAGGACTGTGCTCAATAATCATACCAATGTTTTGTCAAAATAATTGTGCCGACTAGTGTAAAAGAAGCAAAGACTAAACTTGTCGTTGCTCATGTGGAGTTGCCTTCAAACGGCTCCCACAGGCGTAGGTCCAATAGGAAAGGGGGTTACTTCAAGGGCCTATGGCCGTGGTTGTAGCGAGCGTGGCTCGGAGCGTTTTATTCTGTGAATATATTAAATTAGTCTTATACATTTTAAACTAACTTAAGCTTACCGCAGTGTGCCCTCCAACAATTCACAAGACAATGAAAAAGCACAATTTAGGCGGCACTCACAGTACCGATATTAGTAGGCCCATACTTCATGGGGCCAAGTTAAGAAATACTAGAATTTCCTTCCAACACTTATTCTACCTATCGATTACAATGTTCGGCCGTCGACATCCCCGACCCCGTGAAGAACCGCTTTACTCAAATCCAGAACTGCAAGTTTCGAGACAGGCCGCAACATTGTCCGAGATAGTCCGTTGTCGTTCACGCGCATTCTGGCGCGTCTGACGACTCCATCAGCTCCGCTGTAGACCTCCTCCACGATGCCCTTGCGCCACTCTCGTCTGGGCAAGGCAGGATCGCAGACGAAGACCATATCGCCCTGGCGGATGGGCTCCCTTCTCCGGCACCACTTCTCGCGGCGCACAAGCGTAGGCAGGTACTCCAGGACCCACCTCCTCCAAAAACGGTCTCGCAGCATGCGAGCAATCCTCCGCTGCTTTTGCGTAGAACCCTCCTTAGGCAGCTCCGCATCCAAACTAGATGTATTCGGCAGGTTAGCTGCTCCCTTGAGCAGGTCGTTTGGCGTGAACGGCGCCTCCTGGTCCGCATCCACCGGCAAGTGGGTGAGCGTACGCGAGTTGACCACATTCTCCGCCTCGATCAGTAGACTCTCCAACACATGATCCTTTGGCGCGACTTCCTTCAATGTATGGCGCAGCACTCACTTGACGCACTGCACCATCCGCTCCCGTACTCCGCCCTCAGACGGGTTCGATGGGCAATTAAACCCCCATTCAATGCTCCTGCTGGATAACTCACTCTGTATCCTCTCCGTCTCGAACACGTCTCCAAATCGTCTGGCCTCCCTGTCAGCTCCCACGCAGTTCTTGCCGTTGTCACTCCGCAGCCTATCTACTGGTCCTCTACGTCAGACGAAGTTCCTGATCGCTATTATGCAGGAATCCGTCGACAGGTCATGCGCCAGCTCCAAATGAATCGCCCTTGTCGTCAAACACGTGAACAAGGCGACCCAACACTTCTCTCTGTGACGGGCAACAGTCACCAGCAGTGGTCCAAAGTAGTCCAATCCAGTATACTTGAATGGCCATCCACCCACTTCCAATCGATCCTCTGGAAGGGGTGCCATTATCGGCGGCATCGGCCGCGTCCGTTGCAACTTGCACTCGTTGCACGACGAGATCACCTCCTTTAGCACTCGTCTCATCTTCGTGACCCAGAATCTCGTCCGGATCTGAACAATCATCGCATCCACGTTCTGATGCTTCATCTGGGCGTGAAAGTGTCTCACAACCAACTCCGTAAGACTGTGCCTGTGTGACAGTACCACGGGCCTCCTCGCACTGTACGGCATGCACAGCGCGGCATCAACTCTGCCATAAACTCGCAGAACTCCATGTTCATCCACGTACGGCGCCAGACCTCGAACCTCACTCGAGGTGGCGACTTCCTTTCCGCGTTCCGCCGACCTCATCTCGTCGGGAAACGATTCCAATTGGGCCTGCCTGACCAGCAGGTTCTCCGCGGCCTCACACTCCTTTGCAGTGAGTCCGTATTCCTCGAGCTCGCTTCTCTGTTTGTGGCACCAACGCGCAAACCTCAAGACCCAGGCTGTGGTCCTTACCAGGCGGCTGAAGCTCGAGAATCTCTGGAACGGAATGACAAATTCATTTGTGGCCACCAATACAAACTCACTTGGCATCTCCTCGGCATCAGATGCATCCGGAACACGCTCAGTGCCCTCCTCAGGCACTGACCAGCTGCTCGCTGGCTGCCTCAAAAATGCGGGACCGCTTAACCACCGGGATTCCGGGCTAAGGTCCGCCTTGTTCTGCGACCGCGTCGCATCATCCGCTGCGTTGTCAGCTGTAGGTACTCATCTCCACTGGGAAACCTTCGACGACTTCAAAATCTCCGCCACTCGGTTGCCAACAAACTGCTTGTACCGGCGGTGGGTGCTGCCGATCCATCTCAGTACCGTCTCGCTGATGTCCACACTGTGCTCCTCCTTGACAGTGTTGATCAATCTGGTTCCAAGAACCGCTGCCTGCAGCTCCAGCCGTGGGATTGACATCGTTCTCATAGGCGCGCACTTCGTCTTTGCGCACACGAAACTAGCCAGCACGTTGCCATCCTCGTACATGACCCTCCAATAGGCCACCGCCGCGAATGCGGATTGACTCGCATCCACGAACACGTGCAACTTTATGGTCCGAACTGCTCCGCGCCCAAAATAGTGGCGAGGACATCGGAACTGTCCCACGGCGTCCATCTGCCTGCGCCAGGCAGCAAAGGATCTGCCAATCTCCTCCGGTAGTGGTTCGTCCCACTGGATTTTCTGCCTCCATATCTCTCGCAGCAACAGCTTCGCTGTAATCATCAGGCAACACAGGAATCCTAATGGGTCGAACGTTGACATCAGCAGGCTCGAATACTCCCTCTTTGTAGGGACACGATCTCCACTTAGAACGCTCTCTGGCACTCGATGATACTTCACGTTGAATCTGAAGTCATCCGTTGCTACCTGCCAGCGCATTCCAAGGATCTTCTGTTCAGCCTCACCCCATCCGACGCTCTTGACTCGTCCAGGTGGTCCCAACGCCGCTTCCACGATGGGTGAGCTGGATGAAAAACTGGCATAGTTCGAAACCAGCCTCCGCATGTATCTCCTTCACTCGGGTAGATACCTCAATAGCCTCGCTCTCTGTAGCGAAACTGTCCACATAGTCATCGACATAATGGTGGTCGATGATGGCCTTGACTGCCCTCGGATCTGAATCCCGAAACTTCAGGGCATTCAGCGTCTTTACGTAATGCGCAGTGCTTGGCGAGCAGGCTGCTCTAAACGTCATTACGTTCATCTCGTACACATCCGGGTCTCGATCGTCGTTGCTATCTCTCCAAAGGAATCGTTGGGAACATCGATCCTCGGGTCGGATCAGCACTTGGTGGAACATCTCCTTGATGTCACCGCAGACTCCGACTGCTCCTTCCCTGAAATGGAAGAGTAGTCCCGTCTGGTAACGACGCCCCACTTTCACCGTGGTGTCTTCGAGGATCCTTTGTGCCCGCGCGTCATCGCTGGCTGCGACCTGTGGTGCGAGCTTCACACCAAAGCTTTCCATCTCGAAGTAGTCCTCCACCATCTTTTCCATCGTATCTTCCATTGACACGGCTAGAAGGCAGGACCTCGGTGACGGCGTAGTCGATTGTCCACTCACCGGCCCAAACACAACCCATCCAAGCTCGGTTGCGGCCGCATACGGTCCCTCTCTGGCAAACCGCCTCGTCCTAAGTGGCAATCCCAAATGTCCATGGTCCAATCCGATGAGCAACTTCGGCACCACGTTGCCGTAGGGCTTCATCGGCAGACGCGCATCCTTATGCACGAGTTACCACCTCGGCATATATCCTCGGCGGTCCCCCGCCGAAACCCCTTCGGCAGTCCGCCACTTAGGCCGCCTCAGCGCATTTCAACGGCGGCCCCACCAACACCCCTTCAATGGATAAACAACGTAAATACAGACAATGTATTGGGCAACTAAAATTGCCATCTAAACGTAAACATCGGGGCCACTGCGGAACCCGAGCCCCACTTATACATCCGCTCCAATTGCTACTCCATCCCGCTAGGTCAGCACATTTATGTATCAACATTTTAGGTTTGAATAAGAATTAAAATAAACAAAGCAGACACTCTGATTTTTGATTCCGAACGATAAACTTCAAGCATGTTGTACTCTCTGGTTGGAAATTTACTGGAACACCCTTTACAAGGCTATTCATATTGTTAGCTGGCGCAGTCAATAGCTTTCGTCTACGAACGGATTCAACCAAGGACAGGAAGGATCTGAGACGGCGGAAGGAAGCATAAGGAAGGACAGATGTTCTGGATTATACTAGACATTATTATGTAAGAGAGTGAGTAGAGTGAAGTGGGTGACATGGAGTGAAAAATAAGTTAAATCAAAGATAAAGATTATACAACAAGAAGCAAATGAATAATTGATGGAATATGGCCAAGAAATGTTATAAACCAGTGGAAATAATAAAATAAATAAATTAATTAATAAAGAGGAATGACAGAAGTGGAATTAAAGAATAATTAATAAAAGAAAAGTACGAGAAGAATGTGAAGAATTTAGTTAGAAGTGCAGGTTGAAGTTAAATCAAATGACAGTGGCCAGACGTCGGTTCGATCGTGGTGACGGACGGTTCGGGGTTGAGTCGAGCAGTTCGATCGATAAGCGATTGTCGCCAAGAGCGGCAACGGTTACGGGTCGATAGCTCGATGTGCACCGGGCGGTTGGTCGAGCGAACGAACTTCGACGGGTGACGACAGACGGTTGTGTTGCAGGTAGCTCGACGTCGGAACGGGTGGCTCGGTCGAGCAAGGTTGTACACAGAAGTAGCAGAAGGTTGGTTTGACGTCACCGTGTTGGTTCGGTCGAGGTGCTCGTTCGTCTTCGTCGGTAGTCGGACGGTTGTAGACGCTTCGGGTCGAGGGTGCAACGGAGGCCAACAAGTTCGAAGCAAGAGATGGTACAGAAGCCAGTGGTGCGAACGGTTCGATCGCACGGCAGACCGTCTGTACAGTGGGCTCCAAGTGAGGGGCCGGAAGATAAGGAATATGTAGACAATTTTCCTATTCGCATGTATTAGGCGGTGCACTGTAGTACACAGGGCAGCTGCTTAGCATGAAAATAGGGCGATTCAGAGAATTAAATATAATCGTCTAGTAGACTTTCATTTGTATTAGGCGGTGAACTGTATGGCACAGGGCGTCCGCTTAGCAAGGGAAGTACTAATTAAACAAATTAATAATTAAATAAATTAAGGAATAAATAAAAGCAAATAATTAAATAAATATAGGTCGACGATTAGACTTTCAGTTGTATTAGGCGGTGAACTGTATGGCACAGGGCGTCCGCTTAGCAAGGGAAGTACTAATTAAGAATAAGAATAATAATGAATAAATAAATGTTAAAGTAAATAAAGGTCAGAGCTATTAACATGTATTAGGCGGCGCACTGTATCGTACAGAGCGGCCGTTTAGCATGGGGATGGCTCGGAAATAAGTGAGGAATAAATAATAAATTATCAGAACACAGGTACCAATTAGTAATGACTGTCCGCAATTGGTTGTGAAGCTGTATCGCACAGCTGATCGACTAGCTTCAGCATACCCGGTAACAACAATTTAATCTATGCAATAAAGTACGATAGAAAAAAAAAAATTAAAATAAAAAATAAAAAATAAATAAATAAATAAATAAGAGAAAAATTACTCCTTTTTAAATAATTACAGAGCTCCAAGTCACCTCACGGAAACTCGTTGAACTACGATACACTACCAACAGAAGATAACCTACACAACTGAAAACACTAAAATAAGCACACTACTAATTTAAGAAACAAACATACAAAGTAAGAAGTAAGCATACGTTAAGTAGAGGTAGATAATCCCGAAGCAGGAATTCAGAAACTATTGACAGAAGAAGGTAGGCCTTCAGCAATGGCAACAAGCGTACTAGAAGCTATCAAGGTAATAGACCTGGTAGAAATTATTCCGAAGTATGAAGGAGAGGCAGGAAAGCTAGATGGTTTTATAGGAGCGGTAGAACAGGTGCTAGGCCTTATAAAAGGAGAGGAAAGGTCAAACATAGGAGTAATCGCACTTAGATCGGTGAGGAGTAAGATCACAGGGCCAGCGGATAGAGTCCTTGACTTGGACGAGTCTGAGTTAAATTGGGATCAAATTAAGAAAATATTGATAACCCATTTTAAAGATAAGAGGTCTGAGCAGGATTTGATTATGGAATTGACCCATATTAAAGAAAAGAAACTAGAACTGGAAGCGCTATATACAAAAGTAATGACACTGAAGAAAACCTTAGTGAGTCTGTCTAAATCCAATGAGCAGGGCATATTGTTGAGAAGCGAGAAGACCAAATGGTATGAAGAAATGGCTTTAAACGCCTTCGTTTCAGCCTTGAAGGGACCGATAGGAGTGACTATCAGGAACATGGGGGTACCCAATATAGCTAAGGCATACGAGATTGCTTGTAGAGAGAAGAACCTGGGCACTCTACAAGAGGCTCAGGAGGAGGCAAGAGGCCAAGGGCTGGCGGAGGAACAGGATAAAGAGAGTAAGGAAATTCCGAAGCAAGAGCTAGATAAACAAGACAAAAACCAGGTATGAATGGTTGGCCGTATCCAATGATGGGTAACCCATTCAGAGCAGACGGTAATAACCAAGGAGAAACTACTAATTACCAGAGACCATATCGCAATTATCATAACAAAAATAACAAGTGGGGTTATGGGCAAAATAATCGAGGCAGACAGTGGTATGGAAATAATAATTATAATAACTACAAGCCTAGGGAAGGCCAGCTAGCCATCCAGGCGGGTGGAGATGCTGAAGGTAGTGGCCAATCGAGAATGTCTAGGAATTCAAACTATTCGGAACAATCTTATAATTCCAATAACTCAAGGTAGTCGAACAACTCGACCAACTCCAGACGGTCATACAATTCGACGATAATTCGGAGAGAGGCGGAAATCGACCATCGACAAGCGGTCAATTGCATAATATCCAGGAGGATGAGGCAAATTTTTCGCAATCAGCCTCGAACAACCAACGGGATATTTAGGAGCTAGGAGAGGCCACTCCTCCCTACCGTATGTAATGATCAAAATGACTCCGCAAAAGACAATAAAACTACTAGTTGATACAGGATCCACTTACTCATTCATTCCTCCTGAATTGGCTCAATCACAATATGTAAAACAACTCCAAGACCCAATAGCCATTAAGACGATTACCATATCCCACACGATTTTACAAGAAGCACATATACCAATGTTTAAGGAATTCGGGGGGACAGGAAAAATGAGATTACTGCTCTTTAAATTCCACCAATTCTTTGAAGGGTTAGTTGGTATAGATTTGTTACAACAACTAAAAGTCGTGATTGATATTGAGAAAGGCTGGTTCCGCACGACGGACACCGAGTTACAGATACACTTCGCTAAATTTAGACCCAGCGAGGTCCATTCAATAGAAGCAGGGACAAAGGCAGTTATTCCTATTCCGGTACAAGTACCTGATGGGAACTTCCTGTTAGCCAAAACAATAGTAAAAGAGGATTTGATCATTTCAGAAGGAATTTATAGGGCAGTGGCTGGAAGGAGCCTGGTTGAAATAACAAATTATGCTGAGGAAGACCAGGAATTATTTTTGGAAGAGCCGTTGGAAGGTGTCGAGTTCGAAATCGACCAACATTTCGAACTCAACAATATTGAGGAGACAGATAAAGGAGTTAGGAGAATACCATTTGAGAAGATCAGAACGGAGCACTTAAATAGTTAAGAGCTTAAAGAGCTTCAACGAATTTGTAAAAAATATCCCAAAGTGTTCCACCAAGAGGGAGATCACCTATCATTCACTAATGCGGTCAAACACCAAATTAGAACGAATGACGACATACCGGTGTATGCAAGACCGTACAGGTATGCATTCCAAGAAAGGCAGGAGGTGAGAAGACAGCTAGAGAAGCTGTTAGAGCACAGAAACATTAGACCTAGCCATTCTCCTTGGAGTGCGCCGGTTTGGTTGGTGCCCAAGAAAAAAGATGGCTCTGGGGAAAGGAAATGGAGAATGGTAGTGGACTATAGGAAACTGAATGAGAAAGTCATTAAAGACAGGTATCCTCTTCCGTTAATCAACGAGATAACCTAGGGAGAGCTAAGTACTTCTCAACTTTAGATTTGGCGAGTGGATACCACCAGATCGAGGTGAAGGGGGAAGACATCCCGAAAACTGCCTTTTCGGCAGAAGGGGGACACTTTGAGTACGTCCGAATGCCGTTCGGGCTGAATAACGCCCCAGCAACCTCTTAAAGGTTGATGAATAATATTTTCGGAGAATTACTAGGAAAATGTTGTCTCATATGATGACATTATGGTATACTCGACATCCCTGCAAGAGCACATAACGGATTTGGAGAAAGTCTTCAAGAAACTTACGGAAGCGAACTTCAAATTGCAACTGGACAAAGCAGAATTTTTAAGGAAAGAGGTGGAGTATCTGGGACACGTAGTAACCCAACAGGGGATTAGACCGAACCCAGGGAATATCGAAGCAATAAAAAGATTTGAGATTCCCAAAACCAGGAAACAAATAAAATCATTCCTAGGGTTGTTAGGGTACTATAGGAAGTTCATAAGAGATTTTGCGGCTATTACAAAGCCATTGACGAGACAGTTGAAAGGGAAAAAGGCCGTGCATATAGACCAGGAATTCTGTGACGCATTTGAGGTATGCAAGATCTTACTGTGCAATGATCCCATCCTTCAATTT